TTCCAAACAATAATCACAGCAGGTAGCAATGTAATAAGCAGGGTAATGTAGAGCGAGGCGGTTGTTATAGCGAATACAAACCCACAGGCTTTGCGTAATCCCTAACTTATTCTGTCTGTTAAGCGTCCTCCACTGTGGTGTTGGGGTTCATAATGTTCACAATTGTATTTTATTAGTTGTTGGTTTAACCATGGTTCATGAGGTAATGGCTGACTGTTATTTTCTTCTCAATGACTTTTCTTGTTACATGTTCATTGCTGGATTCATAGAAAAACATCAACCAATATTGCATACTCATAATTATTATAATGAATATAATTAAAGAATTCATACACTATAATACACACAAATGCACGCACACGCACACACACACGCACACACACACACACACATTTATGCTTATAAGTATAACACACCGTTGCCATGAAAAACAGAGCGTTGCCATTGATTCTAAACGTAGAGACAGAACGGACTATTTTTCTTTTTTATCGGCAATCGTTTTTTAAATCAATAAACTCCTGTTTATATCTATATTTTGAGTCAAATTATTGATTTACTTGGTAGGTAGCAATGTAATAAGCAGATGAGCAGCTGAGCGTCTATTCATCGAGCCAACGTGCAAACATCGCAAATAAAAGTGAAAGTAAGTCACAGACGCTTAACACACAATCATCTTCAAGTAAAGAAACGAAATTATCTTACCAGCGGTGTTGCCACTCTTTTATTGATGTCTTTGATTTGGAAATTAGCTGATGATCAACGAAATGCAGCTCATATCTGTTGCTTTTGGTGTCGTTCAATCCATTAAATCTGCATACGCGGGAGTTTAAGATCGGATTTATATCCGTTTTGCAAAAACACATTTATGTGGCCAGGTGTAAATGGAATCGGTACTTATTATCCGGATAACTTGTCTGGATACAGATCGCATTTTAATACCAGGTGTAAATGGGGTCTCTTATTTTTCCTGAACACCATCACGATTGAAAATGTGACATTGATTTCCTACAACAGTTCAATAAACGGTAAAAAAATTAAATCACTTACATTTTAGATGCTATATTGGCTGTTTTTGTTGTGTTTCAACAGCGAAAATAGTTCCAAACAATAATCACAGCAGAACCACGGCACATGTCACAGGAACACTCGACGTGTTTTCATTACTGAATCATTCTGCATTTTGAACGAATCGATTGAGTCAAAGATTCAAAGACGCATTCAAAAACATCGGTCTCATTCTTGAATGATCAGCCGTTTGAACGAATCGTTTGAATGAATGAATTGAATGACTCACTCATTAAGACGGTCGCCTGCCACCACCTACTGGCGGTTTAGTGTTAAATGTTTAAAAGTAGTATCATTCTTTCCCAGTTTCTTATGTAAATTTAAATAAATGTCATAACATTATTTTATGCAATTGTGATTTTTCAGTGTAAATGATTTAATTTGATCAGCCCCTAGAGTAACAGCCCATAGTGTCTTATTATTCGAAATAATACACCAGAATTTATAGTTTACCCACCTCTTTTTTACCACTACACCTCTGACCATAGTGTACATTAATTTACCACGTTCTAGCATGATTTATCATTATTTACAGTGATTGGGGCTTGGATGATTGGATTTTAATGTGATTCTAGGAATATAGTATAGCTATTTACCACGTTAATAGCAATTATGTGAAGATTCAGAACAACTGAAGTGATAAACTTTGACAAAAAAAATGATTGTGTTCAATATTTCACTAAATGTGATTGCAAATGTTAAAATAGTTAATTAATAAAGTCATAATATTAATTATAGTTGAGTAGTGAGACAATTACTATTTTGAACAGCAGAGGGCAGTAAAACACCACTTATTGGCTTAATAGACCATCATATAGATATCATTTCACCTTTTTAACTGTTATTTAGGCATATTCTGTCAGATCTGTCTGAAAATGTTCATGATTATTTAATGTCACATGTTCTGACTTGTTTATTGAAGAGATCAACGCTTTCAGGGACACTGAAAGTGTAGAAATAGATGGCTTCAACACACTAAATGTTGAAGCCATCCTATTATAGTCATCCACATGACGTAGTTCAACTTTTTCTTTTAATTATTTATCTAGAGAGTCCAGAGAATTGTACTGCACTGGTTTTAACATTATGATATGATCAGAGATGTACACACACACGCACACAAACACACACACACACACACACCTTTGGGATATTTCTTTGTAATCTAATGTTAAAAACAGTGACTATGTTAAAAACAGTGACAACAGTGGTAGGTATTCATATAATTTGTCTACAACTGAATGAGTGTGTGTAGATTTTAATTCAATATGACAGTTGTCATAGTACTTTGACTAAATGTGATTGTAAATGTTAAGTTAGTGAATTGATAAAGTCATAATATGAATTATACATGACAACTTAGTATTTTGAACAGCAGGTGGCAGTAAAACTCCACTTATTGGCTTAACAGACCATCATTTTCACCTTTTTAACTGTTCTACAGGCATATTTTGTCCGATCTGTCTGAAAATGTTCATGATTATTTAATGTCACGTGTTCTGACTTGTTAATTGAAGAGATCAACACTTTCAGGGACACTGAAAGTGTAGTAATAGATGGCTTCAACACAGTACATGTTGAAGCCATCCACATGAAGTAGTTCAACCTTTTCTTATAATTATTGATCTAGAGAGTCCAGAGAATTGTACTGCACTGGTTTTAACATTATGATATGATCAGAGATGGAAAACACCATTTACAGTCAATAATGGCAATTTACCATTGGAAATACATGGTTTTAAAGCTTTTTAACAGTTATAGCGCCACCTATGGTCCGATCTCCATGAAACTGTGCATGCTTCTTCAGCATGTTATGACACATATGCTCATCAATTTTTGTAAAGTTCTGAGTTTTCCTTTAGGATTTAAAGGCTTTTGGGGGCTTTTTGTCACGCCCTTTTGTAAATGACCCTGTTATAGCAAGACAAATGACAAAGTTGAACTTTTTTTGGATAATTATTGATCAAGAGAGTCCAAAGAATTATCCTAGACTAGTCTGGTTCCGATCGGGCAAAAAACCAGGGACTAGTTCGCAAAAGTAGGTTTTTAACATATTCGTGAATATTTAACGAACGAATTGATTGACAGCAATGGTTCTTGAGGCAAAGTTGTTCATCATGAGGAGATCTATCAATTGATATACATTTTGTGGGGGTGTGTGCAACACCACGTGATTACAGAGCAATAAAACTCGTTAGCGCCAACTAGTGGCCGATTTCTTTCAAAATTTTTACAGACCTCTAGGGCCATGAGTCGAACATTCCCAACGAGTTTCGTTCCGATCGGCCTTCGTTTACCTTGTTTCATAGATGCTCAAACTTCATTGGCCGATGGCGGCCATGTTTTTTGAGATACACCAATGTCCTCATAGATATACATGGGGCCTTGGTCCAAGACACTGCATATCAATTTTCAAGTCAATCGGACTAACGGTCATGTGGTCATAGCCCTTTTTATGTTTTTTTCATATTATAGCGCCACCTAGTGTTCAATCGTCGCTATTTTTTTACTGTGACCTCAAATTGAACTCTTACACATGTGTACCAAGTTTGGTGAAGATATCTCATATACTTCTCGAGTTATAGCCATTTTAGTAAAATAGGCTCCTCCCACAACGTTTATTTTGCTTCCCCTAGCGACCGGAACGAGAAATTTCAACATTTTTTTGATAATTATTGATCTTCAGACTCCAGAGAACATTTCTGCACTGGTTTGGTTCCAATCGGGTAAAAAACCAGGGACTAGTTTGCAAAAGTAGTTTTTCAACAAAATTCAAAATGGCGGAAAAATTTGCATACCGGAAATGAAATCGGAGATATACGTTTTTTTCGTCAGGTGAATAGCTTTCCAATGATATAAGACACTTGAGTGTACGACTTACGGTCTAGGAGTTATGAGTAGTTTCGCGCAATTGGTTGTTATAGCGCCACCTATGGGCCAATCGGGCTCATAATTTGATAACCTCTCCTCGATTTTTGTACTACCATCTGACAAAGTTTCAGAGCTCTAGCCCTTACGGTTTGGGCTGCACGATGCGTTTTAGGGGAGAATAATAATAATAATAAAAATCAGTACAAAAACAATAGGGTTTCAGCACTTCGTGCTTGAACCCCTAATAAAAATCAGTACAAAAACAATAGGGTTTCAGCACTTCGTGCTTGAACCCCTAATAATCCTAAGGAAAACAATAGGGCCTTCGCCCTTTCAGGGCTTGGGCCCTAATTATGTGCGTCATTCATCCGCTCCCATTCATAAATACCTCTGTCGTCGTCATGACAGAGCTCGACCAAACAAGTGCTTTCAGCTCAAAAATATGCAGATTCTGAGAAATATTTATTGATTATCATAGGTTTCTGTCAGATTTCTGTATAACGTTAGAGAAATTATATTTATTGAATACACCAAAATGGGCCGATGTAATCATAGCGCTGGATACTCCTCGGATGTAGTGTGTTTTCAATACACACTGGCAGCCGGCGGGCGTCGTGTACACATAATTTATAACGCTAGTACATAATATATCACGAAGAAGAGCCACATGACCTGTGACACCTGAAACCACAACGAAGTTTCCAAAGATCGCTGAATACTTGCAGATAACATGATTGCAACGATATATGACGCATTATTTGTGTTCTTCAAGCCATGCAGATAACTTCATAATATATTACATTTGTAAGTTAATGTTAATCGATATAATCTTGATAGTCCAGAATACTATAAAATACAATATTTTATGTCCGTTTTTTTATCCGAAGCCAAGTCAGATCACAGAAGGTTATTTAAAGCAATCGACATGCATTATAAAGTAATTTTGGAGCAAAAACATGGTTTTATAATCTCATAAATTGCAGTGTATTGATGTGTGCTAAGCTAACATGCTACCTAACCCTCAGTATGCACCTGCCATCTATAGCTGTTATATTTATGTTTTTTTTTTAAATAGGATGTTTACTGAAATGTTTCTTTTTTTAATTTACAGTTGATAGCCTACAGTGTCAACAGAAGTGAAAACGGATCAAAGAAATTGAAGTGGTCAGCCTCAGCCCCTCTGTGGGTGTGTTTATTCTAAAGTGGCCAGCATTATTCACTGAAGCTCAGGTGAGAATTTCTTGTAATTTTTACTTACCACTAGTATACATTCATGTGAATACTAGTATACATTCATGTGAATACTATGAGAGCTGGTCTTTAATTTAAAATGTAAATTTTGGTCATTTAACTTCCTAGATCAAGGAGGAGTTTAGACGCATCACAACATATTCCTTGGAGGAGACATTCACACGGAAGCTTGATGAGTACTCACGAGGTCTTTTGCGGCTAATGCGCGCCAAAGGAGAAGTAGCTGGTTGCAAGATGTGTCCTCTGCTGGACACTTTAAATGACGTATGTAATTTTATTTTTTCACAAATATGTAATTATTGATATGAGTGAATTAAAACTAAAGTAATTTGTAAACAATTGATTTGTTGTGCGCAAAGTTGAGCTCCTTACCAACTTAAACCTTTTAACATCAATGTTTGAATTCGGTCTTATCCATCTATTTTCTTTACTGCTTTGTCCGTTCGGGTCACAAGATTTTTGAGCCAACCCAGCATTTATCAGGTGAAGGGGCAGTGTTCATTCTGGATAGGTCGCCAGTCTGTTGCAGGGCCGTAATTCGGTCTTAGTATATGTAAATCACTCCCCACTTCGCTAACATTCTAACATCACTAAATTGTATCTCCCTACAGACACAGAACATTGAGAAACATGAGATGCTGTTGTCTGCTGCCTCATTAAAGACAAGACTACCTTGGTGAAAATCAAGAAGATCTTTTCCATTACTACCAGGTATGTCATATTCATAACAGATTTTTGATTAACTCAAAGGATCCTCCTCTCTTCTTGTATCCACCTTCTCTTTTTGCCTTCCACTCCCCCTCTGCTCTCCTTTTAGATAAACTGAAATATATTGAAACAGCATCTTACATTAAATAAAAATGTGCATGCTTTTTGTTTGTTTTTTACATGTAGGAATGTGAGGACTACACAGACAAAAACATGAAGGTGATTGTGAAGCACAATGTCATGGCTGAGGAGGATCCAGATTTGTCTATTGTGATCGAGGGAAACCAAGTAATGGAATCACAGAGTTTAGATACAACAAAATGTGATTGGACTTCTTCCAGTACTGCTCTGATCTCCTCGCTTCTAGTTTCATTTTCTACTCTCTCCTCCTCCTAAAACAGCAATGTTTTATTATCCAACATTATTGAAACAACATTTGATAGTCCAGTGAGTTAACATGTTCATTACTTGAAATGTTGTGTAAAATTATTGTGCTGCACTGTATTTTAAGTGTTTCATATGAATTTTTGGATTAAAAACATTGATTTAATGAACCATGTGAATGTCTTTATTGTGGGGGGTACATTTTACCTTCTCTGAATAAGTAATTAGCTTTGATTTGAATAGATAATTTTTACCTAATTTTAATGAGTAAGTATAGCTGTTGATAAATGGAGGTAATTGTTACCCAATTTATGCAAGTATTTAATAGCTTTTTACTTCAGATAGTTTATACTCACTAATATGGATTAATTTTACCCCACCAAAGTCAATGCAAATTGTTACCTCACATTTTTTGGGTAAATTCTATAGATTAGTTTTTACAGTGTGGCAGAAATCAGATCTTGATGACATTCATAATAAGGGAAGAAAACTAGTTGATGACATGAAAGCAGAGTCTAATGGAGACTGTCAGTTTATTTATCATTTTACTAGGCAATATAATGTTTTCAATAAAACATGCAATGTAAAAGTAGGAAAGGCATTGGATGGATCAAAGCACGAGCTGTATGAGAAAATTCAAGAGATGCTGTTCAGTCATGAATATTGTTTAATGACCATAAATGGAGACATGTGCACTATCGTGAGACATAACGATTTCTATGTCGTTGTAGACTGGAATGTCCGTAACGCATGTGGTTTAGGCTCTGACATTGGTACATCAGTTCTTGTTTTTAACACAAACTGGCAAGACCTAGTTTTTCACATGCATAATTTAATGACGAGCTTGATCGCAGAGAAGTTTAGCAATTGTGGTATTAATATAGACATCATCTCATCAGATATACAATCTTTTGACATTAGTGAAGTCCTTGGAGAATGTACAGTCAAAGATACTGAACAAAGCCTGCCATCTACATCAAATGAAACAGGAAGTGTTCATTGCATTCGTGGATCATTTCATCAGGCTGATGAGCAGTTCCAATGGGGAGGAAAACAGTGTGTTGCAGTTAGTTTGGCTGCAATGGCAAAGCACAGTGTACGTAGTGTGTTCTCATGGGGAAAAAAAGATTTAGATAATGTTGTGATTGATGGTGACAGCTTGTATACCAGTTTACGTCAAAATGGTTCAATCAGTGATCCAACAGAGCACAAATTGTTGTGCATTCAAGATCTTCCTCAACAATACTCTTTTAATTCAAATGGATTTCAATTTGAGTATGGTGACTTTGTTTCTGGATTTGTAGATGTGGTTGACAAAGAATTTATTTTGTCTGGTGCATGTGTAACATTACGTGATGGTTTACAAACAATGTTTTTGAAAAACATGATACATGCTTTTTAACTTTAAATGGTTACACCTGTGGTATCATTAAGCAAAATGGGCAGTTTGCTATAGTAGATTCTCATGCACGTAGTAACACTGGGATGGTTGATAGTGATGGTTTTAGTGTGGTTGTATATTACAATACACTGAGCTGTATTTTAAGGCACTTTGAAAATTTGTCTGCTTGTATTGGAGGAAACCAAAAACTGTTTGAATTAAGTGGTATTTGTGTACATCAAGTTAAAAGCAGTAAAGCAACTGTCTGTGAATCACAAAAACAGCATCGTGTTGATAAGAAGAGGAAATTGCAGACTTCGAAAGAGACTTTGGAAGAAAATAAATTTGGAAGTGTGGTTGTGAAAAAACAGAAACAATGTTTCAAGGACAGCACTGAGGTTAGCAACTCAAATTTTGACATTTTTGACAATTCAGATGTAGTTTGCTTAGGAAATGGATTGAAAAGAAGGTATTCGTTTTGCTCATGTTACATTTTTTATCATTAGTTTGAATTAATTTGACAGACAGCATTCCCTGATGTGGACCAAGCTAGCGCCTTTCAGAGCTGCCAACTCTCACAAATTCACCGTGAGACACACAACTTTTCACACACTCTCACGCCACATCCATTTTGTCATGCACAGAAAAGGACACAGAGACCGATCTCAGCTCTCAGATTCTGTTCATTTTATTACGCAATTCAAACAGTTTTGATGCTTGTAAATGTTAGACGACAGATCCCTAGCGCACGTGAACGTGATCATCTCTACTAGCTAATGGTAAAAGAACACGAACACTGTTGAAAGATATGTTACAACTTACCAAAATGTATTCCTCATGCATAATATCGACCAATCATTTATTTAACTCATCCCTGAACTGAAATTTAGTAGTGGGCTGTATTTCCACACGACATCACGACATGACATCAGGTTCAAGTACACACAAGCCGGCGCGACTTACTCGTGGTTACTGCAGTTTGGCTGGCGGTAAGGTTGCCCGCCCGCATACCGCCTCCCATGGCCGAAACTGGTATTACGACACCTGCCGGGCCGGGGCTAATAATTTAGCATGCTAATTTAGGTTATATCTCGGCAGCACTATAACTTGTCAGTTTTTTAATGACATCATTGCACTTATTTCTTCTCATTCTTTTGATGTGTGTAGCTCATTTTTTGGATATGTTTACCTCAATTATTCCATATGGCACCTTTAATAGACAACATGTTTTCAAAAAATGAGCTTTACAACGTTGTCAGAGCTAATGATAATATTATTAAAATTTAGCACGTTTTAAGCCCCATTTAAAATGTGGCTAGTAAAAGTACTGTGTGGCTAGTAATTTTGGAAAACCACTAGCCACATTGGCTAGTGAGCAAAAAAGTTTATGTCAAGCGCTGGTTGTAACCGATGATCAATTGATCTTCACAGACCACATTGCTAGAACTTGAAATATTTACTACTTTTTAAGTACTGGATGGATCTTTCTTTGTAAGGAACTGAGGAAAGAAAATGTCCATGCTACGGAAATTACTACGGTTATAGTAGACCATTTGGGGACTTTTGTCATCTTTCAACACACCATGCTTTGGGACACAATTATTGTAATTGCACCATGTCAGGATGAACCTTGATGACATCCTGAACTGATATCAATCAATGGCAGTGATTTACATCAGATAATAGTAATTCTTTCTAAAAATAAAATTTTCATTTGGCCAAAATGTATACATTGAAACCTAAACATTACAGTTTTCATAATCCTCAGTTTCATGTGAGTTACAGGTTGCTGGAAGGGGATAACTGAAATAACTGAGGTCAGCCCTCACACCCCTAAATGCATCATTAAAGAAGAGACACATTAACGTTAAAGATTACGACATGATTTTTTATTACTTTTATTATTTTAACTAAATATATATATATATATATATATATATATATATATATTAAAATAATAATAATAATATGTGCAAAGATGCATAATTTATAATAAACACTGCAACATTCCATAAACAAAAACAATTGCCAATTTTAATTTTGTGGTGACTTTAAAGTGGTGGGTATTGTTGGGGATTACTACAGGGATTGAGTGCACTTGGAGATCTAAGAAATTAATTATTGACACTTGTCACTGACATGCTTTGAAGATTTAATAATACAGATAAAAAAAAAGTACTTTAAGTGTGGTAGATTTTTTTTAATTAACAGTTTTTGTGTGTAAATTAACCTGTAGGCCTTTGCCAAAACGGATGTAGGCCTATTTGTGTTCATAATGTGTTAAAAAAGGTACAACATGCATCAAGCTGCATAAATCTACAAATTTGGTAAACGAGGTTTAGTCATTGTTGTTACACTGAATGTAGGCTATTAAATAGTATCTTACATAAAGTAAACAATTACATAAAACATTGGATTAATGTTGGGTCTTCATATCATGTTCAAGCTAGTCACACGAGCCAATTATTTATGAATGTCCTCAAACCTTTTTGGTTTTCGAATGCCATAGAATCAAAATATCATAACATTATCAAAAAGCCCTTTTTTAAGAGTATGAACCTATCTCCTATTTTCTACATAGCTGTCCCTTTTAGGTTATACAACCGTCATATATTGAATTGAATCATTATATAAGTGCGCTATATAACACACCAATAGGACCTCAATCCTGACGTCACGTGCTTCTTACGTGAATGAGAGCGAGACAGACGGACAGACAGACGGTAATCTTTCCCGTGTTAGTGCGAACTAAATGTAACATCGCAACTGTCTCCGTTTTGTTAAAACAAGTTATTCATATTTCCAGTGGCTCGTAAAAGACATGGACATTCTCTAGAAGTATCAGAACAAAAGAGTCCCGGAGAAGGACTGCTTCGAAAGGTAACGATATTCCGATCGAAGTGTTCTCGAGGATTACCCAGAGTGCCGCTACCGGAGACATCGGGTCTTACATAAAACGAATGGGTCATCTAAACGTCGGCCATGAAAATGGTTATATATACTTTGCTATTTTTATCGTTTTCCTAAATAACAATTAGCATTTCATGTGGAGTAGCAGAAAATGGATTCTGGGATTCAAAATCACACCGAACATTATGTGCACGACCTCTCTAACCCGACCGCACCGGGTTTGTGTGCAGAAATGCTCGGGGTGGCGGACGAGGCATGCCGGGCTGGAGACTTCGATCTGGCCGCGGATATCTATTCCTCTCAGCTAGCCGAGCTCGAGCACACCGACCGTGGTCTCTGTCTGCGGAAAGCTGATGCCCTGGCCCGTGGGGGACGCATAGGCGATGCGTTGGATTCGTACTGCATCGCTGCAAACCTTCAGGCACTGAGTCCCAATGAACTGCAGGTTTTAGTTGAAGTCATAGCGCATAAGATACGTACGAAAGAGCAGTGTGACAGTAATACAATAAACGTGGATTGTAACACCGAAAACAGATGTTTTGAGAGTGACGAGTTAGAGGAAGAGCAGAACTTAGATTTGTTTTCATGTCGCCTTTGCAAGTGCTTGTTAACGGAGCCGACGTCTTTGGTGTGTGGACACACTTTCTGTAAGCGCTGTGTGGAAGATGATTTAGCTAAAGAGTGCAGAAGCTGTCGTTTAAAAACGAACAAAACACCAAGAGAATTAAATGTGGACGGACTCAGAATAAATGTTATTGTCAGTGGTTTGATTGACAAATGGTTCAAATCAGAAAGCAAAGCGAGACGATACTGGTTGGAGGGGGAATGTCTTTGGAAAAAACAGGACTTATCCAACGCCATATCGAAGTTCAACAAGGCGATGGAACTAGGTAAGACTATTTTATTCTTATGTATAAGCGGCCTTTCACCCATTTATTGCAGCGAGTATTTTATAAAGAACTGACCTACTTTCCGAGAGACGGAAGAAACAGCCACAGGGGGCGACATTGTGCACCGTGCGCTCTCAAAGATGTTTTGTAACAACGTGACTAATATAATTTAAATATATTGAATTGGGGTTCATTGAGCTGTCAGTATGGTAAAAGGTAGGTACACTAATGTCTTGTTGATTACAATTACCAAACAACAACCATTATCGTTGAATTTGTTGCATGTTATTATCAGCCCATCCCAAAGTCTTCCAAACAGTATGTCTACACATTTAATTATGCACAATAATGATTATTAGTGAATTAATGCTGACATTTTGTTTACAAATTAATTTTGTTCAGGTTGCTGTGTTAGGCTAGCCTGGCTCGCCCCAGACATATCATTGAGAATGAGACGTGGTCTGGAAACCACATGTTCATTTGCTCGTATTTGAGACGTGTGCTGTGTCTGAAATCACCCATTACTCCTATATAGTGGACTATATAGTGAGCTCGCCATTTTGTTGTGCTGTCCGAATGTATAGTGATGATTATTATACCATATATAGTCCACTCAATGTATCCCAGAATGCATTTTGAAAAGTAGTGTACAACCGATGGTCACTAACCTAAGCCCTACATACCATCATGCATTGCGCTGATCGTAAAAATAAGTTGTAACTTATTTTTACCATCAGCGCAATGCATGATGGTATCATGTATGTGTGGAGTAGCGCATTATAACAAAAACGGCCAGAAATCACTTTTTAAATTTTTGAGAAATGAGCTCAATATAATGTAATGTATTTTAGGGCTGCAAGTAACGATTATTTTGATAATCGATTAATCAGACGATTATTTTTTCGATTAATCGATTAATCGGACAAAAATTATATTTCATTTTTTTGTTTATTAGAACTAAATAAAACCCTAAATCAGGGTTGTGACGAGCAGGGTGAGGCCTCATTGATCTGATAATCACTAATTTGTGTATTAAAATCTACTTAATACAGACAACTTCATTATAAAGAAAAACAACAAATAAAATATATATGACCATAACCAAAATATATGACAAAAATGCTATTGTAAACTAGATTAGTGGATAACTCAGCAAAACTTAGCCTAGAAAAATCACAAGTGCACAATAATTGTATAAAATCTGAACATTTAGTGAAAAAAACATTCCTTAGTGGGGAACAAATAAGAGAGACAAGAAGTGTACCACTAAATTTGGTAAAACGTTACACATTGCTCTTTGTATTGTTGTAAAATAACAACGTAAAAATAAGATGCACAGCTGTTTTAAATGTAAAGCACAGCTGTTTAGTGAGGCAGCAACATATAATAGATAGGACAGAACAAGAAAGGCTATTAATAAGCTTTCATTGCGCAAAAGTATTATGACATGATTGTGAAAGACTCCAAAACAGTGCTGAACACAGCGTGAATGATGCGCTTGAAGCAACACGGAGTCACAGGGCGGCGCGCAGCTCTTCGAGTCCGCCGCTTTGAAAAGTTAAAAGCACCAAGGAAAGAGAAAGACCTATCAATGCATAGTGTATTATACAGTATCTATGCAATAGTTTATTCAGCATTTTCTTTTAACAGTTTTAAATTTAGGCTACTGCATGTGCGCGTGAAGAACAATTATAGTGTGCTGACTCTACTCTAGTGTTGTGATCTAACCAGTGACGGCTGGTGAAAAATATTGTAGGTGGGGCTGTGTGTTGTGGGGGGGTGGGGGGTCTTGGGGTTGTCAAAAAAATCTTGCGAGCGCAAGGCGCACCTGTCGGATTCTGCAATCGCGCGCAGTTGCTCTCCACAACTGCGCTGATCAAAAGCACGATGGGAAAATGACTTGCTGACGACACAGCTTAAAGGGCATATTGCAGGTTAGAGGACCCAACGAGTCAATGCATAGAAAAACAATGTAGGAACTAGATTTTCTTTAAAATATACAGTGCCCTCCACAATTATTGGCACCCCTGTTTAAGATGTGGTTGAGGACTTTTAAAAATTCTCCCTTTTTTTTAAACAACATAGAACCCAAATGCAAAAAAAGAGAAAAATCCAACCTTTTATTCAAGTACATTACTTTGGTGGTAAAAAAAAATGTAAAAATTTAGAAAATAAAAACTTCAAATCCTGTGTCCCACAATTATTGGCACCCCTAACAATTCCGCTGAAAAATGTAATTGATTTTTTAAAAAAATATATATTTTCTGTAGTTGCTAATGTTGGTCAGGATATCTAGGAACTTTTAATTAGTAATTCATGACTTCCTATTTCCCTGGGGTATAAATATGACATGACACAGAGGCCTAATTCTCTTACCCATTTGTCAACATGGCAAAGACAAGAGAACACACCATTCAAGTAAGGCAGATGTGTGATGACCTTTATAAGTCAGGCAATGGCTACAAGAAAATAGCCACTCACCTTATATTGCCCATATCTAAAGTTAGAGGAATCATTAAGAAGTTTAAAACAACAGGAACAGTGACAAACAAGGCTGAAAGAGGTCCCAAGTTTATCTTGCCACAACGCACTGTGAGGAGGATGCTAAGAAAAGTAAAAAAAAGTCCTAAGCTCACTGTCACAGAATTGCATCAAATAGTGGCATCTTGGGGTCACAAAATCTCCAAAACAACCATCAGACGCTCTCTACATGCCAACAAGATGTTTGGGAGGCATGCTAGGAAAAAGCCTTTTCTCACTAACACTGACAAACGTAAACGTCTGGAGTTTGCCAAGCGGCACTGGGACTTCATCTGGGATCGTGTGCTTTGGTCGGATGAGACTAAGATTGAGCTTTTTGGCAACAAACACTCTAAGTGGATCTGGTGTAAAACAAAAGATGTGTATGCCGAAAAGTACCTCATGCCCACCGTGAAGTATGGTGGAGGATCTGTGATGCTGTGGGCCTGTTTCTCTTCCAAAGGCCCTGGGAACCTTGTTAGGGTGCATGGCATTATGAACGCTTTGAACTACCAGGACATTTTAAATAAAAACCTGATGGCCTCTGCCAGAAAGCTGAAGATGGGTCGTCATTGGGTCTTTCAGCAGGATAATGATCCAAAACGTGTGGCAAAATCTACACAAAAATGGTTCAGTCACAAACTCAAGGTCCTCCCATGGCCATCTCAGTCCCCAGACCTCAATCCAATCGAAAACCTGTGGGGTGAGCTAAAGAGGAGAGTGCACAAGAGAGGGCCCAGGATACTGGATGATCTAGAAAGATTTTGCAAAGAAGAATGGTCAAAGATCCCTCTCTCTGTGTTCTTCAATCTTGTGAAATGTTATAGGAGGAGATTAAGTGCTGTCTTGTTGGCAAAAGGGGGTTGTACAAAGTATTAACATCAGGGGTGCCAATAATTGTGGGACACATGATTTGAAGTTTTTATTTTTTTAAATTTTTAATTTTTTTTTACCACCAAAGTAATGTACTTAAATAAAAGGTTGGATTTTTCTCTTTTTTTGCATTTGGATTCTATGTTGTTTAAAAAAAAGAAAGAATTTTTAAAAGTCCTCGACCACATCTTAAACAGGGGTGCCAATAATTGTGGAGGGCACTGTACGTATAAACACGCTACAGAAGCTTCTGCAGTCGTTTTTCGTGAGAGAATTTTACTTCCTCGTCTGAAAATGGGCGTGGCGGGCGTGACGCAATGAGCGGGAGATCCGTCGATTCACACAACAGGAAAACAATGAATCGCATGACATTTCGGACGCTGAGGAAAATACTCATGACGGATCAAGCCATAAAGTTATGAGCCTGCTATGCTAAAGAGATCAGGGACAGGCCAGGATAATGTCAGACAGAATGGTCAGAGAAAATTGAGCTGTGATGTGAGGAGAACCAGTGGAGAACAGGACAGGTGCCTTTTAGGTGAGAGACGTGCTTATAGGCTATACACGTTCGCTAACGATATACACTGTGCTCACAATATTGTACAGATTATTATGATCCTATAACAGGCCAGCAGACATTAGTATGTTTAGGGTAGATTTATATACTATTAAATGTATAAAAACTTTACTTGAGTATATTTCTATACTAAAAGCATAGGCTATACTCAGGTACATTTTTAATACATATTTTTCACCTAGGTTATAACATAAACAGAACATTAAAGATTTGAGTATTTAAACAACCAATTTTGTTTTTCAATTATAAGTTCTATTTAGGGCATGACATGACTAAGTTACCTATATACCACTATTTGATGCCATTGGTAGTATACGACGATCAATATTCTTGCTTCGGCATACCATGATGTTGAACTCCATCATATCGCCGGGATGCTATAGTCATTTGATCTGAAGTGAACGCTACACACGACCGCGTTTTCCGAGCCGATGCAGAAGAGAAATCCCGTCTCTTCACCTGCTCAAACCGCACCAGGAACGAAAGATAGGCTATATAGCACCGTCACTTTTATTGTAATGGAAACTTGTGGACTCGATCTTGAAGTCCTGACAGGCTGGAGTTTTTGCAATCTCCACAAACACAATAATTTACCATGACGATGATAAATTAAAATCCAAAAACTAACGAAAGCACACTGACTGACGAGCGCTCTCACTGAACACCAGCCTACTCTGCACTGAGCCGAGGCTGCGGCTCCCTGATATGACGTCAAATGACGCGATGTTGAAAAAAAGCCGTTTTTACTAGCAGTCCAAGAAACGCTCACTTTATCTTCTAAATTAGTGCCCTTATGTTGTTTTAAAACATTTTAAATCCTGCATTAACTTTTCATATGGTATTTTCATACAAGGTTATCTATAAATTTAAAAAAAAAAATTTACCTGCAATATGCTCTTTAATGCTCATTGGTTTAAACAACAGTGATGAATTGTTCTCTTTTAAAATGTTTGATTTTAAAACTGATATCATGTTTTATGTGTATACATATGGGTGAATAAACTCTCTGACAAGTGCCATATGGATTATT